CACAGTGATCACTTCAAATAGGTATGTACTGCTCAGCTGCCCCACGTCAGAGCTGGAAAGCGATGGCGATCAGCTGAGATACACATGAGAAAGGGGTAGAATCATACCTCGCGCTAATGCTGGTCTTCTCTGGCTGGATTCAGCCCATTCGTATAGTTCCTGTTTTGGATGAAATCTGCTGTCCATTTTCCATAGAAGGAAAGGCTCTACTACTTCCTACATGTCACCCTGCATGAGACAGCCGGCAGCTATGCTCGCCCATGATAAGTGAACTTAGGCTATTTAAGTCTGAGCCTGGTTATTATTGTCTTTCTTTACCTGCCCATTGTTATCAACCTACTGAGCTGTTCACAATCCCCTCTCAGAATAAACCTAACCCCGCAGTGCTACGCCAACATGGAAGGACTCAGAAGACATTCAGTTATACTGGATCGCAAGCTCTGGGAGAATGACCCCATCTACTTCTTCAAAACACTTCCACCCTATATCAGCAAGTATGCTCAACGCGCAGATGACGCCTCAATCCAAGCCCAAATTGATGTGTTTGGCAAAGACGACGTCGGTGCCATGCCGGGAGCCTTGGGACCTAGGGGCAACTTTGCTGCAGTCACCTTCGCAGAAAGTTTCCCAGACCGAGTTGCTATGCTGGCCTATCTCAATGAGGTATTGAGCTTCTATGAGTGTATGAGAGTCTATCTTTGTCTATGACATGGTTCTATAGAGATTTGCTAACGATATACTCCATACAGGCTTCGAGAAGCAGATGACAGAAATGGTGTGAATACTGCATCTCTCCTATTCCATTACCCTCTGATTAATTTGCTTTTCCTTGTGATTCTTCCTGGTTCCTAACACACTGCTTCTAGTTGGACGCTACACTTTACGCAAACCCTGTCCCCAAAGACCCCAAGTATGACAACCCAGTTTGGCAAGCAAACTACAAGAACACGATGACCAAATGGCCCAAGATTCTGGAAAGCTTGGACCCTAAGCTCGGACCCAAGTGTGTGAAGTCCCTGGTTGCCCTGGTCGAGGGAACTGATATGGAACCCAAAATGGCCCACTACAAAACGATGAAAGAATATGCCCTGGATCGTACAAACTACATTGCCTGGCCGTAAGTCACACATTGATTCCAACTCCTCCCGCTCTTGTTTTACTAATCGGTCTAATCCAGAGTGGCATGTGACAACGCTGAGTTTGGTTCACAGTTGGATTTGACACAGGAGCAATTGGACTCTGTTCGGGACATCTTTCTACCTCTTTGGATTCATTCATGCTATGTCTACGACTACTATCACTATGACAAAGAGGCTGAGATACACTCCACCTACGGCAAAGGCCGCGAGATGATCAACTCTATCCCGCTTCTCAACAGGCTGAAAGGCTTGTCGGTTGACGAAGCCAAAGCATGGCTCAAGCAAAGATGCCTTGAGTTGGAAGCGGAATACCTTCAGCGCAAGGCGGATTATTTCTCTGAGAACCCGGCTGAAGCCGTTCCAGTTGACTTACGCCGCTGGTTCTTGTCTCAAGAGGATCTCGCAACCGGGTTCGCAATCTGGTGTGCGACAACGTACCATAACCACCCACCATTTGGAGAGGGTTATGCCGCTCCATATGAGAAGCGCCGTAAGGAAGGAGCGCTCTGGTTCGAGAAGGTGACCGAGTCCGATCAACTCATGACTGGCGGATTTGAAGTTCGGTACGCAAACTAAACGGAGGTAAAATTCCACCACTTCAACTTGAGAGAATTCAGAAATGTCCATATGACCACTGAATATCATCGCTATTTTCGGTGGTTACTCACTTCTAGATGGAATAACTTGTTCCATCCCACGGTGATATCACTATGACTGTATTGTACGCTCCTTCTAGTTAGATAGTCACACCAATCCATATTCAGCTTTCTGCTCCTTAGGTCTTGATTTGGGATCCCGCCGCACATGCTCTGCCATTTTGACCATACGATGAATGAACCAGTAGGTCATAAGAGTAGACTGAGTATTACCATGATTATTAGAGGGAACTTCGATCACCCCGGCCATGTGTAGTGTTTTTGACTTCACTGCGACTTGAACATGCGTGTCGGTGAGAGCGATTCGGAAACATTGTTTGTGGTTTGCTACTGATCGCGCAAAATACTGATCCAGAAGGGACTTGTACGAGACATGTTATCAGTAGTTACTCTTTTCGTTATGCTCTTTGTGATATCTACGATGTGGCTTCTAAGCGGTTCGTTTTTTGATCATGCCTTAGGTGCAACTTACCTGCAACTCCTGACTTAAGACACTCTGTTCAATGTTGATCTGAGAAATCAAACATGAGCAACATAATTCCGAGACACGGGATAACACGGCACTTCAGGCGGCAATTTCCTGCCACGGGAAAGGATTATAGGCTATAACTGCTTTGTCAAAGCCACTAGTTCTACACAGATAAGGGTGGATCACTCGGTTCGCTTCAGTACATACGGTGCACGGGCCCATCAATACCGGCAATCTGCTGCGATCGGCAACTGTCGAACAACAAACTTTAAACATATCAACTAAACTTAACTTAGGTTGGTGGGGTGGAAGATTATTCCGGGACCCACTTTCCATGCCAAGAAGGGAAATAGATACGGACCTAGCTATACATACTTAATTTCGTTTCAGACCTGCCTGAAACTTTCGTAATGATAAACGAGTCGGATTAAGTTCAATAATACTACAGTCAAGCTGGTGCGCAATTGAGTTTGCGAGATTCAGCTCTCATCTTCCAACTCTAGCCTCTTATCTTGTCGATCACGAACGGCACTACGTAGTAGTAGGGCTACAGCTTCCCGATTACTATTACTACCGTATGATACTGCAATTCCTCACATCTTTACTATCTCAATGGCGTCATGTCAAACATTATTGTCGTCGACCTCAGCTGAATGGACATGTCGAAAAGCTTCGAAGTAAACAAGAGCTAGTAAATATTGGAAGAAGCTTCTACGGCTAGGATCGAGGTTCAGGCATCATAGAGATGCATCTTATTGTCATGAAAGTCAGATCGAAGGTGAAGTATTCTTAGCCTGATTATGCCTCAAATTGAATGAAAAGAACATGAGAAATCTACTGCTGCATACAAAAGAAAAATACATGATAAAAAAAAGAATTTGAAGACAAACAATGACTAACCCAAAAAATGCTTAGATTCCCGCCCCAAAACTAAACTTTCTCTCGGCTAGTGTTTACCATCGAGTATTGAACCTACCCTCGACTAAGCCAGGGGAGCTAATGCAACAGGTTCGCTGGCGTTCGCTTGCCCAATGCTTTCAAGAACTCGGGTCTTACCATTTTGCAGATCATCACCGAACGCCTGTCCGTGTCCCCTTTTCTTGTTGTCGCTGTTGGACTCGTTCGGGCTAGCCCAGAGCTTGAAGTCTATCACGCCAATGCTTGTTGCCTGCTCGTAAAAGCGACGGAACTTCAGATCGGCCTCACTCTGCCCCGTCTGGTCGTAGACTTCTTGCATGCGGAACCGCGGATCGCACAGATGCCAGGTGACATAGCCATGAACGAAGGCACGAACGGTAGCCTCCACCTTGGGATCTTTGCCCTGGAAGACAGTCACCAATTGTTCGCAATAGAGAATCGTATCGCGAGTCAATTCTTCAAAGGCAACCTCCCAGCCAACTCTATTGCAGTGGGCTAAGTTGCTGACCAAGTTGATCTGATCTCTTGGGCTGTCATATTCTTTGTAGAACGAGATCAAATCGTTGCAGAGTGTAAGCTGCGGTTCGATTTGTGCAATTGCGGTGACAATCTCTTCAAAGACAACCCTCTCATCAAACTCCGAAAGGGGGAAGAGGGTAGCGCTAGAGATACCGCCAAGTCCATTCAGACGCCGAAGGAAATGTGGGAAGTAGCTCGACCCAGGGAAGCCGCCGAAGTTATTTTGCTCGATCCAGCAGCCCTGAAAGAAGTCCAATGTACTTCGAAAGATCGTAATAGCACAGAACCCGTCATAATAGCGTAGAAAGTTTGTCAGATGCGCATTCATGCGCTGCCAGAATAGATGCTTCTGAGGCCTTCCCTTGATCAAGTCTTCGCAAAAGGTTTTCATCTCTGTGTTGGGAGTGTCGCTTGAGTCATCCAGCATGATGATATACGCAAAGTAGATAGACACGCCTACCATGACATCAAGTGGACACTTGACCCAACAGTAGACAGTAACGAGTGTGCTAGTTCGCATGACGGCCTGTAGCCTTTTGGGACTGACCTTCACCGCGGCTTTTTCGACTGGCTGGTCGAAATGTTCTGCCGTGTGCTGGTAGACGTATCGTAGGCTTTCCACACGCTCTTCATAGCTGAAATTGTCGTCCTGGTATTCTATTGTGTCCAGAAACTTGGCCAGGGCCGCGATATACTCATTGAGGGGAAATTGCTTTCCTGTCATTGTGTTCGAGATTTGGAAAGAGGCTGTGCAGAAGAGAGATATGGAAAAGACTGTCTTGTTGGATCTAAGTTGCAGAGTTTCATTCAGCCCAAGGATATATTCTATAGCAGTTATATACCTAGGGCCCAGATAACAGCGGTATTTTTCTTACACGTCGTACGAAACCTGCTTGACCCTGTGGTATGGTCAGCTGGTCATGGCAGTTCGCAAAATTACAATCCTTCTACGCTATACCAGGTTATAATGGTATGTAGAATGTGGCGGTCATGCCGAGCAGCTCCGCAGCTGAGTCTGGGTCTTGTGGCGCTGCTTCAATTACATCCACAGCTGAATATTTGATCTTCGGTGGTGGAGCAATGCCTTACCCAGTTCGAGCCTTCTTATTCCTGGTCATGGAGACTAGTGGTTATTACAGTTTAACCCCTCGCGAACTATTAAGGCGGTTCGTAGCTTTCCTGGCGCGCCATCAGTCCAAGCCTCAATGTTCTACTTTGCTCTGGTTGACAACCCATTAGCTCTTCGTTCTCTTTGTTACCTCTCCAAATACGCTGCATCAATCTGAAGAGAACGGTGCCATGCTGGACATTATCTCAGAAAGCAGGCCGAATGGCCTGGGAACTCTTGGACTTGCTGTTGCTACCTTTGCAACCTATCTCGTCTTGAATGCCCTCTACAACCTTTACCTACATCCTTTGCGAAACTTCCCTGGACCGAAGCTAGCAGCTATTGGTCCTTACTATGAATTCTACTATGATGTCATAAAGGATGGAATGTTTTTATGGGAGATGGAGAGGATGCACCAAGTGTACGGTACGTGGTTAAGAACTAACCTTGTTCTGTACTCGTCACCTAATAATGATGTCTTCCGATAAGGTCCTATTGTTCGAGTCAATGCCAACGAGCTTCACATTCGTGATCCACACTACTACAGCACCGTGTATGCTGGCAACCACCGAAGCACAGACAAATACTACGATGCAGTGGCCGCGTTTTCGGTCCCGCAAGCCAGCCTCGCTACCATACACCATAAAGTCCATCGGTTACGGCGCTCGATTCTGAGCCCGTACTTTTCCAAGGCTGCCGTTACTCGGCTTGAATCAGCTATCAACGAGCGGATCGAGCGGATGTGTTCGTGCTTAGAGGAGACCATGCAACGTGGAGAGGTTGTTGATTTAGACGCTGGATTTGCCGCCCTCACTGCCGACATCGTGACGACGTATTTCTATGGACAGAACTTTGACTATCTTGGGAATGAAGGTTTCAAGTTCGAAGTGAGAGAAGCTATTCTAGGGCTGATTCAGTTCTACCATTTTACGAGGTTCTTTCCATGGGTCGCAAATACCATCAAGAAATTGCCTATTCCGATCATGCGGTTGATCCATCCAGGGGCCTCGTATCTTGTCTCCTCTCAGGAGGATATCAAGACCAGCATTCGCGCATCTCTGGACAACGGAGACAAAGCAGAGGCCAAGTCCGTGATTGTGCAAGCACTAGAAGACCCGACCATTCCCCCCCAGGAGAGAACACTCGACCGCCTAGGAGATGAAGGTACAACGATCATCTTCGCAGGCACGGAAACAACGGCAAGAGCTCTCAGTGTTGGCATGTTCCATATCTTGAACGACAAGACCATTCTAAATAAGCTGCGCGAGGAGTTAGACACTGTGCCGAGTGTGGAGAACGGTGTCTACTCCCATGTTCAACTCGAATGTCTCCCTTATCTGGTAAGTTGTATATTCTCATTCAAGTTGCAATCTCTTGTCTCCTTCTCTTTCGCTTGGAGTAAAGGAAGAATAAGCAGCGTTGTCAAACGTAAGGCGTCAATAATACTACAGGGCTAACAGTACTGGCAGACCGGAGCGGTTCAAGAGAGTCTTCGGCTTTCCCATGGCCCAGCAATCCGACTCCCCAGAGTTGCGAATGACAAGGCATTGGAGTACGGTGACTATATAATACCGCCGGGTGTAAGTTTCCCGCATTCAATGATGTTGCACTACGGGCTGTTTTTAATCGGTGCGCACACATACAGACTCCTGTCAGTCTATGTACCGTCCTTGTCCACCAGGACCCGTCTATCTTCCCAGACCCCCATCGGTTTGATCCTGAGCGCTGGATCAGAGCGTCTAAGGAGGGTATCAACCTTGATAAGTTCATCGCTGCTTTTACGAAGGGCACTAGACAGTGTCTCGGAATCAAGTAAGATCCAATCCATAATAACCCCTCTGCCCATTCGGGGTTTGTGCTAAGGACAAGTACTAACTGAAATTGCCTCTCTAGTTTGGCATACGCGGAAATGTACATGACCTTTGCCAAACTCATTCGCACCTTCAATATGGAGATATACGACACCACGGTAGATGATCTCACGGTGCATCATATTCGACTGACCGGAGCACCGAAGCACGGAACAGGGGAGGTGAAGGTAAAAGTTACGGAAAGGATATGAAAATTTCCGGGCGTCTCATTGTGTACCGTACGGAGGCACATTTACATCATTACCTACGTATAGATACATACGTAGTAGCTTAAATTATTAAATCTCCGGGAGGAACTTCAAACTCTATTGCCGAGCTGTGTCAATCATTCTGTTAGGATGTAATGTATGTCTGCAATAGCAGGGGTTCACATAGTTAGTAGCTTATTCTACCAAACTTCATACAGCATTTTCAGAAGGTGCCATCTACTCGTAATTGAGTCTAAATTTATTTAATTTAGAGTTCGTTAAGCGGCTGGCGAAGGTTTTGTTTAGATATACCCAACTAGGAACAAGCTAAACAATTCCATAGATCTAGACTTGGGGCCGCCCCGTTCCCAACACGATTAAATAGCGTCTTGACCCACTAATACTTAGCAGAACGAATGTATCTCTTGTGTTTCTGTCCACGATCGCCACGAGAGTCAGCCAGCCACCATATCCACTGATACTGTAGCCGAAGGCAGCTGGATGAGACGGCTAATGATTTGAAATCTGCACCTTCTCGATGGAAAAGATCGACGGAGACATGCCCTATCCAATACTCCGTACAGCTCTTGATCCAGTGCTTGATCACCCGTGTTTAATTACTTAACTTACTCCGTATAATTCAATGTATTGAGATTTGAGGCATATCGGTGACTTTTTGCCTTAGCCTGTACTGGCTGTTCTTGTGGTAGATTGTTGACATACGGAATATCCAGTGTTGATTACTACCTAGCTTCTCCCGTACCTATTTAGAGAAAGCAGGTATTGTAATTATTGTATCACGAGTATGACGAAGAGACGAGAGAGTTGGATGAATAATAAAACAAATATCGAACAGCTTAGTTGTACTCCCACTTTCTAGTCGCTCAGTAACCACATCGACATCCTACCACCACAAGTATGGATTTTTTTGGTACCCTTCAACACCTGGAGGTCAGATCCATTGCGATAACCTTCGTCGCAGGCCTCCTGGTGTATTGGGTCTGTTCTGCCTTTTACCTAGCAGTCGTGCACCCTCTGGCCAAGTTTCCCGGCCCAAAACTTGCAGCTGTCTCTGGCTGGTGGCTGGTTTACCATGAGTGGTTTTTGGGGAAGTCTCTGACGGATATTTTGTTTGACTTGCATCAGACTTATGGTATGGTAATCTCCTGTGTGGCTTATCATGCTACTTTTGCCCTCCCTCTCCCAATGGAAAGTATGGCTAAGACGAAAAAAAAAAACCAGGCCCCGTTGTTAGATATGGACCGCATCGCGTAAGTTGGATAACCCTTGAGATGGTATCCAGCATTAGAGACTTATTCGCTTTCAAAGTTGCATTTTTCGACAATGCAGGCTTACTCAGATATCTACAATGTGAAATCCAAATGGGACAAGGACCCCGAAGTGTACAAAGCGATAGTGGATACATCCTCCGCATTCGGGCTAAGAAACTACCATGCGGCCAAAGAACGACGGGATCTTATATGGCCGTTCTACTCGCGACAGAGTGTTCAAAGAATGCAGAAGGCCATCAATCGGCAGGTATGCTACATATGAATATATAGAACAAGAACGTACTGAGTGACCTTTCATAAACAATGCAGATACGTGTCTTGGTAAACCAACTCGATAGACAGAACAAGGAAGGGAAGTTGTCGAACATGTCGATGGCTTTCCGCTGTTTAGCCCAAGACCTAATGGCAGATATATGCTTGGGAATATCCTTTGGAACTCTTGAAGCGAAATATTTTGACTCGCCACTGATCCACGCCTTGGATGAGGGCCTCGACAGTTACGTCCTTATGAAAAGTTTCCCAACTCTGAGAAACCTTCTCTACTCCATCTCATCATGGGTTACACTTCCAGGGGAGGCTGAATTTGCCACTTACGGAACTATAGTGGCAGACCATGTTACTAAAGGAATTCAGCAGCCTCACGCTATTCCACCTAACACTATGCTAGGCTTCCTGGTCCCATCATCATCAAACACCGCAAAGGAGGCGTCACAACCAAAGCTGACGCAGGAGCATATGATTGAGGAGCTTCAAACATTTGTTATTGGCGCCGGTGAAACCGTTGCCAGCGCCATGGTCCAAAGTCTAAGCGGCATTCTACAGAAGCCTGGCCTCTACAAAGACGTGTACGAGGAAATCGTTCAAGTTTGGCCGGAAACGCATGGGCCGGTTCCCCCAATTGAGGTCCTAGAGAAATTACCGCTATTGACTGCTGTGATCAAAGAGGCTCTCCGACTGACCCATGGTGTCGTGGCGCCCTTGCCCCGGGTCGTTTCTGCCGGTGGTGCTTGGATTGATGGTTACCATGTCCCCGGTGGGACAAGCGTTGGCACATCCCATGTATTCATCCACATGTCACCGGACCATCACGATGCACCAGAGAAGTTTCGGCATGAGCGGTGGTTAGGAAATTCTTCAGACAAACATCTGGTTGCCTTCTCCAAAGGCCCTCGTGCTTGTATGGGGATCAACCTGGCTTGGTGTCAACTCTATCTTGTCTTGGCCACTCTGGTCAGGACGATCCAGATGGATTACCCTGAGGATCTCAATGACTCCAAGTTCAAGTGGAAAGACTGCTTTCAGCCGCTGTACTATGGAAGACCACTCCAGGTACGATGTACCCCCATGGAGGGCCATTCTTAAACACAGCCCCTGCTAAATATCGCTTTGATTCGACGGGTGCTTAGCAGAATCGCTGTCGTCATGATCTAAATAATGGAAACCGCATAGAGAATGGTTTTTCTCAGGTTATATCTCCTTGGTCTTTTAGGATTAATAGCCGCAAGGCGTATTTCAACAATGTATTTTTGTCCTGGATCAATCTACATAGCATTGAGTTTTGAATCCATGTTAGACACACTCGACAGAACTCATTTACATATGTGGTCCTTGTTTACAACTAAAGTGATGATAATTATGGCAATGTAGATAACGTGAATGAATATTTGCTTGATGGGTTCGTTCAGAAAACATACTGTAATTGTCTATACAAAAAGTCCAAGTTGATGTGTTCACACCTTTTTGTAACCTCGCAGCCATTTCTGTGAACATCTACTCAGTGTGAATACATTTGATGCCAGGTATGGTCCCTATTCTCTACCAGCAGCTGCCTTACAGCATCTCGCGGTGTTAATGGGTCCCTACCCAGAATCTCCCGCATCAAACCGTCCATTGGTCGAAGCTCTCCCCTGGCAGCAGACTCCCACAGCGAAACCAATGTTTCGAAAAACGTCCGAGACTTTCCCCCTCTGTCACTGGGCGGACCTGCGTGCACAAATTCTTCCTGCGAGACATAGGAGAGCTCCACTCGACGGCCCGTAGTTTCATTAATCACGCTTACTAGCTCCTTTGCCGTGATCGTTTCCTCGGCTGTAAGAAGAACAGTCCTGTTCTCGAATCCCCCCAGGATCATGAGGCGTGCTGTACATTCAGCAAGCTCCACCCGGCTCGTGAAGGCAATCTCCCCATCCCCCGGGAGAGTGATACGGGTGGTCTCCGGGTACCAGTTGAGAAAGAGTGGGAAGCCTTCAACGTAAATTCCCTCACGAATGCAGGTAAACGTAAGTCCGGATCTGATGAAAGTTCAGCAGGTGATCAAAATGTTGGCTGTCTGGATGATGGTTGCGGTCTTACTCCTGGAGCATCTTCTCGGTAGCCAAGTGGGCCCTTTGGACTGCAACCTCCGAGTCGTTCGTCAGCCCCCCAAATGGGAGAGAGGTGTACCAAACCTGTGCAGTTAATTAGTCAAAGCAAGCAACCAAACCTATCGAAGAATAGCAGGACAACATACATGCTTAACATTGGCTTGCCTGGCAGCGTCTACAACATTCCGGTGCTGCCTCTTGACCTTTTCGACGTCGATCACGTTTGCATTCGTACTAATGAAGAGTAAATTCTCTACGTCATGTAGAGCTTTGCTCAGAGTGGTAGGATCCTCATAATCCAAATGACGAAAATTGACCCCTCGGCTCTCAAACCGTGATCTGTTTTCGGGGTTGGAAGACGACGCGGCGAAGTCAGAAAGGGGGATTTCGGTGATAAAGTAATCCAAGATGTGACCACCCAGACCACCTGTTGCCCCTGTTATTAGGTACTTCATTGTCGTGGGAGTAAAATGCTAAGGATTTCTAGAGAAGAGTAGGAGCACAGTCTTGTTTATTTGGATAGATAGTATTATGGTAATTAGGGTACATATATGGCAATGCAGGCAGTATGGGTGCTTCTACGGATACTTCCCTCCACCATAACGATAATTAGCACTGTCTCTTGGAAACCCTAAGGCTCCTTTGATGCTGAATAATGCTATGCCGTAATTATTATCTGTCTGAAATCCCGATTAGTGGCAGGTCCAGGTCGAGTAGCCGAGGCGGAATATACGGTAATCTTCTGTAAGACAACCTGCACCTCACTTCCGTATGTTCCACGAGGCTTGCATAGATGCACCTGTCAACCGTCAACTGTCACCTACTAGCTGTGCACCTGAAAGTAGCGGTGTAGCTGCACGTCGAGCTGAAAAATAGGAGGAGAGCTGAAAGTCAAGCTAGAAAGTAAGAGTTCCAAAGAAATTGTGGCGTTGAATCAGGAGGTTGATCTTGATCTTTGGATCTTCATCAGGTATTTACTGTATGATAGTGGTATTGCGATTCGGGGAAATTGTATACATCACAGCTAGTGGGGGCGCACTACTTGGTTAAGACGTTCGGTACCAAATACTCGGTAAACCGTACTCGATATGGTCGAAAGTCAAAAACCACGCTGTGTTTTGTTCGTACCTTACTCGTACGTGTCAGGGTCAGGTTCTTCTGTATTAATGGAAATCAATCATTTTTTGCAAATCGAAGTTCCTAGCAAATGTAAAGCTCAGCTACCTCTCACTAGCTATGGCAATCCCTCCGATACCGAAGAGATACTCATAAGAAGGGAACTGATAACTTCTGTCCCGCAGTTCTGACAACAGCATCATTTGGACCTCCAAGCGCTCTCTCTCTCGCTTCCTCCAAAGTCGGCTCGTACCTACATTTGTGAAGATGACACCCAAACCTTTGACGCTCGTCAACGGATACCATGATCTACATAAGAATCATATCTCTTCGCCGCTATCCTCTATGCACGATGTCTGGAGAACTGTGCTGGTGCGATTCAAACAAAACACCAATGCCATCAAGAATAGATTCGACAAATACAGGGTATTATGCAAAGAGCTGAGTTTGCAAAGGGATGAATGGTCCGAGTCCATCTTCTTGGACGATCTGGAAAAGCTTCTGAAGCTAACTGCCAAGTTTGAAATGGCCCTGGTGCCAGCAAACGGCGTCGACACCCATGTCAACGGCTACAACACCCAAACCAACGGCGTTAAGACCCAAATCAACCGGTTCGACGCCCAAGTGAACGGATTCCACACCCCAGTCAATGGGTTCAACACCCACCTCAACGAGTTCGACACCCAAATCAACGGGTTCGAACGCGAGTTGGAAGTTTGGCAGATTGAAGAACGGTACAGGGCCCTTGCACAGCTTCAATCCACCTTGGGATCATTCTTCGAGCGTGCTTGTCCTGCGTATGACCAGTCTAAAATTCCTTGGTTCTTCGATCCGTCCTACTACCAGTGTCAAGGCGTGAATTACGACCGCTTCGCGTCGCCGGATGTGCGGGACCGTGAACAACAACTGCTCGAGACACTACAGCTGGGCTCGAATCAAAACCCCAAGCTTCTGCTGATGTCAAGTGGCATGGCGGCCTTTACCGTCATCCAGCAGTACGTCGTCCAGGAACTCAAACATGGCGATACCGTGGTGGTTTCTCCTTACATTTACTTCGAATCCTTTCAGCCAATGCGCTCCCAGAAGTCCTTGTCAGTGGTGAACGCGACAGCCTTCGATCCAGAAAGTGTAATTGAAAGTGCAGAGAGAAATAATGCCCGAGCTGTGTTTCTGGACCCGATGTGCAACACAGTGGGTTTGGACACCATTGACATACGCCGATTTGCCAACCTGGTGGCCAACAGAGAAGGCTGGGAAGACCGTCTGGTCATCATTGATGGAACGTTGGTGTCTGGGGGAATGGAGTTATATGATTGGTTTGAAGGGCCTCACTGTCCCAAGGTGCTCTACTACGAGAGTGCCCACAAATATATCCAGTTGGGCCTGGACCTCATCATGTGTGGCTACGTTGTAATGCCGGAAGATATGGTGCCCGGGATACAGTTGGTTCGCCAGATTACAGGAACCGTCCTGTACTCCCGGAACGCCAGTCTACTTCCGCCAATTGACAAGACCGTTTTTAATTTCCGGATGTCGCAATTGACAGCGAATGCCGAGAAGCTGCACCGGTTGCTGGACGCCGAGAGCGGAACCATGGCCGAGGTGATGTTTCCTCATCACTGGCGCAAATACGGATGGAGACACGGCGGCAATGTCGTCACAGTCCGCTTCCACGGAGAAGGGTTGAATAAAAGGCCCAACTTGGAGCGCTGCTGTGATGACATTCTCCGCGCCGCGGAAGAACAGGGGGTGCAGATGGTCAAGGGGGCCAGCCTGGGCTTCTCCACCACCCGGATTTTCGTGGCAGACGCCTTTTACAAGAACACAGATCCTTTCCTACGGATATCCGTCGGTGTGGAGTCAGAACAGATTGAGGCCGTCGCCAGAGCCGTTCTCAGTGGAATCAAGAGATACTGCATATCGGCTACGCCCGTTAATCTCAACGTGGCCCAGCAGCTTTACGATGCCAAATTTTATAAAGCCATGGCGAGTATGCTGGAAGTGCGGGCTAAGTACACCAAGGACCGGGTCGTTTTCATGGAGGGCGAATGGCTGGTTTCTATCCTCAAAGCACTGGGGGCCAAGGAGGAGGATTTTGATGCTCTCCAGCAAGTCAGCCATCACCTGGGCAAGGACCCCACGGTAGACTACCGGACCATCAGAAACGGTCTGTTCTACTACGACTTCGAGAACAAGGCAATCCAACGGCTTCAAAAGCAACGCTTCACCCTCACCGTGCAAGAGAACTACAAGCGTCATGACTCTGGATTACCCCGTGATTTCCCAGAGGTCAGGGGGGACCTTCAATACAACACTGTCCTACAAGGCCTGATGGTGGTCAAGGCATTCATTATGAACAAAGTCGACGTCGAACCTCGTGCCCACCTGGACTACTCCAGCCCGAATTTCCTTTGCAACGTGTTTAACATTCGAACATTCACTGAGAAGAATATCCTCGGCGAGCCTACCCTTGAAGGCGTGCACGCAGACGGAGCGGATCATACGATGACTACATTCCTGGGATGCACCAATATGAGGTCCGACAGTGGAATCACCTTCATCCACGACCAGAAGGAGACCACTGGTATCCCAGCCACTGAGGCGAAGCCGAGCCTCATAAAGCATCGGTTTCAGCATCGTCACTTCCTAGACTCTCTCCTCTTTGCTGATAATGAGGCCAAGCACAGCCTCACTTCTGTCTTCCAGGAGGATTTGTCTAAGCGCGCAACGCGAGATATGCTGCTCTTCCTCACCCGCAAGCCTAAGTTGGAGGGTCATTCGTCGGGACATGTCGACGCCATAGAAACCCACAGGACCCTTCCGATGAACGTTCCGTTGTGGCTATAATTGCTCAAGTTTCTGTACCAAGGCGGTAAAGTATACCTTGATATTGACTGGTTCATAGTAAAGATGTTCAAGATAGACGTGCAAATTATTACTCGGGAGAATGATGTGTTTCTTAAGCAGGTTACGGGATAAAATGCTTTAATGCATGGAATATATTGACCGTTCTTCGTGTTATGCCATGCCACAGATAGAATGTACATGATAGAATGATGCATAAGAAATTGTTCATAAGGAATTATACCTTCCAAATAGGCTAGGGGTTTAGATATGAGAAGTTTCGATGATGGGGGGTATGCTTTTGATCATATATGGCGTAAACACAAGGGAGGCTGCCAAAGAGCCGACAGTGGATTGAGCTCATCCTGAATCTTCACCACAGCACCTGGACCGCAGACGGTCAACCCGTACTCATCATAAATATATTCCAAGGTTTAACTGGATTATTATTCTCTCAGACACTACTATTACAAATATGTCAATGGATGTGATCTTAAAGTTATGTTATACCTTAAGATCTAGCACGTCAGAACATCGAATCTAGAGTATCGATAACCAACGATTTTTTAAGAAATATATATATCCCCACCAGTATAATTAAGGCTGCCATAGCAATTACAGGATGTAGGTGGTACCGTGAAGATACTTCTGCAAACGACATACTTAGGTTCTACTATATGCTCTATAGGCACTCGTGATAAATAATATCTAATGATCTTATCGTCATAGTAACTACATATTGATATGCCGATGCCAATGATAAAGAGATGTAGGAGACCAAAATCAGGTAGACCTCTACCTTGACATAGACATGCATTGTACTTTCACAATGCTACCAGGCCCAATATATCTCAAAACTAGATAAAGCAGATACCAGCGTCAAAAAGGAGTAGTCTTTTTTTATCCAATTCATCGGCCCATATATGTTACAAACCAGGTTATAGGTTTTAGATACCGTGAAATCTTCTACGGCCAGTTAGCCCGTTCTAGAGCGTATGTGTTTAGGTGGAAGCAACAAACTACCGTTGGGGGTGTGGAGATGTGTAATTCGCATAGGTAAATGTTGTTTCGTTATACAATACCCACGTGCCTAGTCGATGAACTGGATATTTGTACTGGCTTTGCTTGTTAACCTGTTTCATTATTTTCATGGGCATACTCCGTAGTCCAGTATCAAGTCAGTTCATCTTCCATTACTGCCAGAAAGCTTAAACCTATGATAGGCCATGCTGTGAGGGGCCTGTGGAGCTAAGTTACTGAGTGATGTGGTAAGGTTTCCTTCGAAGATGATAGTGTCAGCGGGTTCATGGACGAGAGATCCTTAGAAGAAATGTCTGCGTGGAGTTTACCATCGTAATGGCCCAGGCATGGGACTTTAACAGGGGAGCTGGTATCGGCTGATGTGTAGTGAAGGTAATTGTAGGAGATATAACCAAGGCCATGTATTCTACAGGACCAAAAGATCGCATGAGTCTTATTCTACGATTCAGGTTGCCCTGAGTTGCACATATATATCTTCCTGCGGTTACAGGTAATGCATAGAATCATTGAACAAGGCTGACAAGAGGGGAACCGACGAAATGTGTCGAATGGAGTTTCTTCAGAATAGGGCTAAATAAACTCGTGAGCAATGCTTCATATGAGCAACAGGGCTACCCCAACACTTGATTCATATGTAGGTATGGTCGGTACAATGCCAGTGATGAGCATTAATGATGATCTGTGTGAGCATGAATCCAGGGTAAGGATGACCTGAGCAGTACCCCCTAGATAAACGTGTAGTACAAGTCGTGATTATTAACAGGGCAAACTATCGTCTGTGGGTGGGTGAGTTTTACTGATTGGGTTGCGTGCTTCCTTGAAAGCGTCCTCCGTGAAGATAGAGGATTCGAGTTGTTCAGATGTGCAGAACTTGGCCTCGACGTTTGTGACAGCACGAATAGTCTCTTCCTACGGAGGTGTGAGCCAGTCTATAATAATGTGAAGTGAGAGTTTTACTATGCTTGACTGCAATTTTCTGTTCTATCCAAATGCTCGTTGCTGATCCCAAATTATCACCACACCCACAATGCCGTCAGATTCATATGACGATTCAAGTGAATGTTCATCGAATTGAACAATGATACTAGGCACGGGATGGGCAGATAGTCTGGTACCCTCGAAGATGTCTGTACATTCTTGATGATACTCGGAAGATGAACTTTTGTACATGATTCTTAAGCGTAGGCACATCAATGTCTACCTTTCCTGTGATTACCAGCTTCAGAAGCTCTACTACTGTGGATCATAAAAGAAAAGTAACGAAAAGCCAACGTAAACAAATGTAAGTCAAGGCTCTGAAGGTAGATCTTGACATAAGTAGGAGTAATCCCAGAAAGAAATGAGGGAATAAAGGGATACTTATACCAGTATCGGGCAAGTTGCGCAGGCAAATAGTCATTCATTCGGACATGGACGGTTGACGGTATAACTAGCCTCTCCCCCCAGGACCATATCTATACAATATGAAGAAGAAAAGTAAATAAAAAGCCTGGAAAACTATGTTGCCGCCAATACAGAATAATAGCATAACCTCTCCATTCAAAAATAAACCCTAAGTTACGCATGGCAAAGCTGGCATGCTCATTCAATCCCAGAAGAGCTCGACCATAGCTCGTGTGGCCAAGCTACAGCTCGCAGGGCTGCAATCAGTTCAGCGTGTCTTGATACCTTTGGCTTGCTAACCCTGAATGGCAGTTATAATTGCGAACAAAGGTCAGCTGTTGTGATATCATTGTCATCTACTCCAGAAAGCAGTAGCGAATAACCACGAGAATAGATATCACCAACCAGATATCGCGTCAATAAGAGTAGATAACTAAAAGGGGACATATGGACCACAAACCTTATACTGTCGCAACACACCAAGGATATCCTTCCATGTTTTCCACCCATGGATGAGGAAGCCAATGCCCTTCAGATTAGGAGGACGCACCGGAATATCCTGACTCATCGGTCTCTTTAAGCAAACGCAGGATTATAGACTAGAGGGTCGTATGAAACTCGTATGGATGATACCAAAGAAGAGTTACATAGGAAACAAGGTATATGAGACGAGCAAAAAAGCAACGTATACAACGTGAGTTATTTGACAGGCTGACGTGGTTATTTTGTGAGGTTGAAGTCAATACTATATTACGTAGATATGCAGATATCTGGAGGACCTGGAACACCAAGTAGAACTAGCTTTACCCTTTCCATTCTGGGATAATTCAATGCTCAGACTTAATATATGATAGTCGTACTCAGAGCGAAGACATATTGTTAGGGAACCAGGGAGTAGAAACCAGGTCAGTGCAGTCTCCGACAAAAATAACGATCCTACAGGCTAAATCCTTAGCCACACGTTATTATCCTGGGGTATTGTATTGAACACGAATTCTAATTGGTGCATCAATATGGTAAAGCACCAGGCTAGAAAAGTGGCTTGCTTCCGGTCCCTGAATACGAAGCTATACGACATTGCAGATCCCCCAAAATTGGGCCGCACCTCTTTTACAGAGCCTGGGATAACTCACTTTTCAAGCTAAGAGTGACATTCCGGCTCTGATGCATGAACTAGATTGAGCTCGTGACTGAACCTGGCATATGTTGCATGTTTCACAGCCGAGGCATCGGGATTTCTGTAGTAGTCTGTTGCTCCTTGAATGTTGTAGAAGTCAGATCGACGCTCATGTACATGATACACATAGTGGCGGATGGCCTAATATGCTATCCGCATTCAGGATTGTGCCGTTAACTGCGGGGAAATAGGTAGAGCTAAATTTCAATCCTGGGTCGGTACTTGAGATGATCGGCAGGAGAAGTCTGTTCCATGTTCAGTCTCTGTAGAATCCACATGCAGCAATTACTCCGGACTCAAACGCGCTACGAAGATGATCTACCATCGTCTAAATCGTTTTGGATAATAGCCCGCCGTCATAGAAAGATGGCCGACAGCCAGAAAGTTAAGTCCCATGTGAATCTGTTTTCGAGCGGGGGGAATGATAAATACTTGGTCGTTTCCTGCGGCCTGGTTGGCACCAATGTTGATTCCAAGCCGATAAAGTGCGAATATGGTACTCAAATATGTACTCATTGCTTTAGCCGTCCTCCCAGGAGGACTGGCTGATGATATCCGGCAACTCCAATCGCGCCAGGATGATGCTGCATCAACAGCCTGCAGCAAGCTAAAGGCCAAATACCCCGATATCACGTACTCTAAACTCCACCCAAGGTATATTAATGCCAATACAGGTGAGGAAGAGTGTTTGCTACTTCTAGCAGAAAACACTAAACTTACCCTTTTCCAGAATACTACACATCCAGTGCATGGCTGGGGCCCGCCTGTGTCTTCGAGCCCTCAAATAGCACACAGATGGGCGATGCTGTACAGATACTGAAGGACGCTAAATCCCCCTTCGCAATTAGAGGTGGCGGGCATATGCCAATCGCTAATGCAGCGAACATCAATTCGTCCGGCGTTCTGCTCTCCAGCTTTGGCCTTACCCAGCTCAGTTTGTCTGATGACCAGTCTACGGTCAATGTCGGCCCAGGAAACCGATGGTCCAATATCTATGACTATCTTGAACCGAACGGGCTGACGGTCGTTGGGGGCCGACTCGGTCACGTTGGTGTTCCTGGGTACATCCTTGGAGGTGGTGTCTCCTATTTCAGCAATGAGTATGGTTGGGCTTCCGCAAATGTTGCCAGCGTCACGGTACGTCCCGCAGCCTATTGTATCCTTCATTGTCCTCCCGCACTTTCACTGATTCATAGGAATTAGGTTGTTCTAGCAGATGGAGCAGTCACCCAGGTGACCCCAGAGAATGAGTACTCAGATTTATTCTGGGCATTAAGGGGAGGTTCCAGTTCATTCGCCCTTGTGACAAATTTCGAACTGAAAACAATCAAAGCCCCCAAGGTAATGGTTGGTATGGCATCGTATGGATCCGACGTCGCCGAGAAGTTCATCGACGCTATACATTCGTTCACTGTGGATGGTTCGAAAGACCCTAAGGCGGCTACCATTCCAATGGCGGAATATATCCCAGCTTTAGGTACAGCTAGCTATAGCGCCATTCTCTTCTATAATGGCGAAAATGAGAGCCCTGCCGCGTTAGAGAGCTTCCTGGGTTCCGATTTAAACGCCACCACCAGTACCTTTTCCAGCCGCTCCATGAGTGACTGGTCTAAGGAGCTTGATCCAGCCCTATCGCTTCTCAAGGGCAGTAAACAGCGCTTCTATGTGTTGAATATCCACGCCTCCAACAAGCAGGCCATTTCCATTGTTCATGACACTTTCATGGAAGTGGCACGCGAGGACTTGCCAGTGGGAGTATTGGTTGCAGCTTTAGCATTCCCAGCAGTTACCGAGAAATTCATCACGGCGTCTACTGTCAACGGCGGGGACCCTCAGAGCTTGGATGTCGATGGCGCGCCATACATCTGGGTGGAAGAGAGCATCACTTCTGTAGCGACCGTCAGCGACGACGATGTCGACGCATTCTATGAAAAAGCTAATGGTCAAATTGTCAAGAACCTCGAGGCCGCGGGGATCGAACTGGCCAAATTTATCTATCTGAACGATGCGAATCCCTCCCAGGATGTATTTAGCACAATACCCCCAGAGAACCTTGAGCGACTCAAGAGCATCCGGTCTAAATATGACCAGGACAGAATATTTACCGATCTAATGCCCGGCGGTTTTAAGGTCGCGTGACATTGAAAGTTGATCGGTTTAGAAAAAGGTTGAGAGAGACCGGTGCAGATGGTGTGATTGGCTTAATTGGGTAGGACTAAAGGGTGCCCTAGAAGGGTTATGGTTGGCGATTGGATATGAGTCCAAAGTAGGATTGAGCATAAATGAATTGGAAGTGGAGTTAAATATCATGTTCAGACATGTGCGATGTTGGCATGTAACATGTACGTCGTAGAGAGAGAGAGAGAGAGAGAGAGAGAGAGAAATTCCCAGAAAGAAGAGAGAGAAAAACAAGAATACAATCGAGGATCCAAGGGGTCTCATGATCGATGCAGCTATGCCTCATCTGGACTGCAGTGTGACCATCCCATTGTGGGCCACCACAACATGTGCCCGCGACATGCAGGAATTTAAATGAAACAAAACCACCTTCCATAAGTACTCTTCTTCCCCCTCCTTCTAGTGGGGAAAATGTGGAAGATCAACACATCCAATACACCGACTATTCAACGGATAAAAACGATTTATTAAACCACGAGGAGAAAGAATCCAATCTCTTGACCCACACGTTCGAGACATGGCACATGCATACACGGACTCGACCATGTGCATCAACGTGTGTGAGAGACGCCAAAAATGCATAAGAACATCAGGTATATCAAAAGGAGGCCTGTCCCCACTCAACGGACGATTGATACAGCGCTGAAAGATGAAGAGGGGAAGGCAAATCGAATAAATCAAGTTCTCCAGACATGTCCGCCTTGGAAAACCAATAGAAGAGAAATAAAATCCATAACCCCGTTCCTGACCCAAACGTGTCCATTGCAGCCAACTCTGGCCGGTTGTATCAAGTCATGAATTGCGTGTTTGGCCATGCTGCCGCTGTTCATCCCCGCTGGAGTAGTGGCCTGCCGTGTCCGTTGGAGATGTTGCCGATGACGCGGATTCTATAGGTATCAAGATGATTTAGCGACATTAATTCCGCTAAAAGACACACCTGCACACAAGATAACGCCTTACCTGTCGACTGATATCCGCCGTCGCTCTGCGCTCCATTGCTCCTGGGGCTGCTTCCATCCAAGATCACGGATTTTCGTGCTTTCAAGCGTTCTTCGGTCGCGCGAATTTTCGCCTGAAGTTCTTCCAGTTCTCGGTTTTGAATCATCATTTGAAATTTCCTGGCAATAATTCTCTGCGGTTAGCCTCCCAAGTTGTCTCTATCTCGGTGCATTTCGGGGGCAAAGGGAGGAGTTCGGAACGGTTACACGGCATACCTCTCATCAACAGTCTGCTCAAGGTTGTGGACATCCGAGTCCAACGCGAAGAGACTATCTAGCGTACTGGAGAAAGCCTGTGCCATGGTCCTGCCATGTATCAGTCAGCGTCAACTTCCAGGTATCGCAAGGAGCGCAAATTGGGGGTTACGAACGACTGAGGACGACCGTTTGGTTTCCAGCCCTGATCCGCGTCCGACATTTTGTCGTTTTACTCGAGTGTGTGAAAGCGAAGGTGTACAATGTGGCAAAGCAACCGCTGAAAGGAGAAGAAAGGCAAGGAGACGCTCGTTCGCTGTGTTGAGGGGAAGGAAAAGGAGTGTTCCTAGGCGCGCGCGTGCGTCAATGCACTGGTGGGTATAAGGCAAGGTTGATGTGGAACTTGAGGTACAATCCCAGAAGAATCAGAAGAGAGTCAAATCGCCGATGATTAAGGTATTAGGGTTAAAGGTATATATGATGGTGAGAAGATCAGAACCAGCTGAGAGCAATCTATGGGAAAATGTAGGGGGTTTTGATCGATCGCAGGACTGAGGAGGCCGAAGATCGAAACTTGTCGCACTAATGAATGGGTAAGGGCCAAGGAGGGACCACTTTTAGTGGGTAGGTTATCAAAGCCCGGACGGGGGTGATAGGGGCAATGCACGCTTGGGTGAGGGAAGATCAGTCGGCCCAAAGAGAAGTATAAGTATTCGTTTGGGAGGAGGGGGGGATCAAAGAGTATATCCACGGGCACCACGACGACAAGTGAGCCGTCTATACGAGGGGCCTCCCTGTCGTTTTGTCACCGTAAAAGAAGTGATGTTCAAACAAGAGACACAAAATATGAATAGAAAAAGAAAAAAAAAAAAAAAAAAAAAAAAGAATAATGATGATAAATCAA